CATGCAGAATTTGTATATTAAAGATATTGCTTTAAAAGCCTAGTTTAGTTGAATAGCTAAATACGGATTCTGCAAAGAATTACGTCTTAGTTATTTTGAAAGACATGTATCCGTTTACATGAAAGTCCTCTCCAGTCCAGGGGGAACGTATGGCCATTAGAGAAACACGTCTAAGATATCTTTAAAGAGCAAAGTCTCCCAGGGTTTTCCATGGCTCTTCCTTTGAACATTCACTCTTTATCTTGGAGCTTGTTTTGCAATCTCAGGGAAATTATTTTTAAAACAAATGTAAGCCAAGGAGCTTGAGGACCCCAGGGTAGGATGTCCATCTCAGGAAGGTGTAGCTGAAAGCAGGGGTCCCCTTGCCCCTCTGGCAGCCAGAAGCCCACCTCCCACTGCCCAAGTCCAATTCTTGGCCCTTATTTCAGACGCATGTGGCCCAGGCCCTCAGGGTCCACAGAGCTGAGGACACCTGCATGGGTGTAGAGCTGAGATGCACATCAACAGCTTTCTCTCTATCTCATTGGCTTCCCCATCCATTTTCTGTAATGCCCATCTCGTTTTCCGTTGTGTTTTTTATTTCTGTTCTCTGACCTTCCTTGCAGCTTCATTCTATATCAGTATATCATTGTTGGGCCATTTGGACAAGTGCATGCCTATTTGGAAAAACTATTTTCACCTTGTTTTGGGTTTTGTGCCATGTTTGCACAGTTTCTCTTCCTTTCCCTTTGAAATACTGTTAGATATTTCCTTCTGTGTCCATGAATCAGATTTGCAAACAGGAGGGCTACATATATTAAGTCTCTTTGAAAGAAATCTTCCTTGTTTTGCCATAGATATGAGTTGCTATGAAGCAAATATGTATTTGACACTTGCTGAAGGAAACCATGACGTTTATTGAAGCTTTAGACAAGGACCAGTAATCTTGAAACTCTGTCATGACATTCTAGTTGCTGCCAACTTTAAGGTCCCCTCAGAATTTACATTTTGGAACATAAGCACTTAGAGTCCAGAAGCTAAGTGTTGCCAGCCGTTTCCCACAGCAGACACAAGCATTGCCATTTAGATTGACTTGTCTTAGAATTTGTCACTGAGGCTCTCATGGTGGCGAAAAGAAGAATAAAAGTTGGACAGAGCGTTTGAATTTAAGTACAGTGGGAATCCTTCCAGTGAATGATCTCCCAAGGACTGAAAAATTGGCCTATTGGGCTGACTTGGAAGGAGCTGAAAATGAAGACCAAGAAATGTATATCTATATATAGAGTAGCTTCTCACCCCAGGAGCTGAGATCACTAACAACTTAGATGAACCAATGCAAGGACTTATTTAAAGGAACAAAACGGCTATGAGTGTGATATATACACTATTATATGATTGATATATACACTATTATATGATATATACACTATTATATGATATATACACTATTATTATGTTATTTTTAAACAATGTCAACACCAGGCTGATAGATGATAATGATGACAATGATACCTTCCGTATATGATGTTTCATCTGATGGTTTATACATCACTTTGCCTGAGTAATGAACTAAGCACGAAAATAACCTTTTGGGGCCTTCATCAGTCATTTCCATCCAGGATAGAGTGAAACGTTTTATCGCTTAAAGAAAGGGTGTTTAACTTAGAAAAGGCCTCATCTTGAGAATTTTTTTGTTAATGCCAAAATTTTTAATGCCTTTCGCATTTCAAGGACTAAGAATTTGGTACCTAGCAACATTATGTACCCTGAGACCTTTTCCCCAACGAGCCGTTGTGATGTGTGGAAATCATACTATACAGGATCACTTAGATGGGTGTGTTGCTGAGTAGCTGTTTACCTAGTGTTTTCAAATGTCTCGTGGGAGATTCTAAATGATTATAGAGTTAAATCTACTTACAAAGACTTGAACTTACTAGCGTTTTTTCTAGCCACTAGAAAGGTCAGTGGTTGCTGAAGATATGCTGCTAAGTAAAAAACTCTGCCCAACTGGAGACAGCATTCAGCCAGAATACACCCTTTGGGAAGTCAGACAGTCATTCCATAGCCTTTGAGAGCCATCAACCATGGAAGTGATGGGTTTCTACTGCCACTGGGCAGCAGAGCATCTTAATGATAGAATACTTGGGCAAATGCTAATTCTAATGACCTTAAACCTTGATGTCCCATATATGCAGCTATTTTTGTGTGTGCGTGACCCTGGCTAGTAACTATCAGAACAAATTTAATGGAGTTTCATCTGATTGGATATTATAAACAAAACATTTCTCTCCCCCGAAAATCTGATGTTCTACAAGTACAGGAAGGTTAGAGGTGCAGGATTAAGGGCAGGGAGCAGTATGGTTTCAAAGCAGTAGCACCGGTGTTCAAGATAGGCAAGGTCTTCAGAAAAAAAATCAAATAAAGCAAGAAAGTTGAGTCTCTCTAGAACTTCCTTTGAGAATAGCCCACAAGAATTATTCTGTTTTTTAATTATGGATTACTCTTGTGAATAATTTCTAATGTTTGTAGGAGTAAAGAATTCTTCTGAAGTGAAACAATTAAATTGGGGTTATTAAGGATCAACTCTAGGGAAAGCTATTTTAAAAAAAAAGAAAAAAGGTACTATTGTGATCCCATTGCTGTGTCCTAGCATCCGGCTGCCTATAATTAAGAGAAAGATGATGGTTGATCCTGCAGTGGTGCTCACTAAATTAGGTCATTCATTGCTGTAGAATTAATTAGTTGGCCTACTTCAGTCATTCATTCACAGACATTTATTAAGCACTTAGTCGTGGCCAGGCACTGTGTTGAACACACAGAGGTAAATGAGATCTAGTTCTGATTCAGCCTTAGGGTTAAAGCGGGATTTTCTTCTAAATGTAAACTGTATTCTTCCTTCCCCTGCTTGCCTCTATCTGTGTTTTTTATATTAATTTTTTCAGACATGAGCTGGTTATTTCTCTTTAGGAGAGCGATAGTAAATGAGGTCACTTTCTCTTTAAATGAGCTTTTTAATAGATCAGTGGCTGTAGGTGAAGCTTCAAAGTTTTTAGGAGCTAATATCTCACTTTAGTAAAGTCAGCATTGTGATATATTGGGAGCCAGATGCTAAACTGACTCTTGAAACAAAAAAAGAAAAAAGGACAAAAGTTTTAGAACATGATAACCAAAAACCTGGACTCTAAATCTGAGACAGTAACAAATTCAGATCTCATATTCGGAATATCTTACTGCCCATTTGGTACAGATATGTGCTCTGGTTATCTAAAACTATACATATCAAAAAATAAAAACCCTATTGAACATGTTATTTTGAGACTCCAGCAATTGACATCTTTCATGCATTACTGGCCAGATTTAGAACAGTTTGATTTACTTGAAGAAATTGGCTCTTGTACACCTAAAACTAATATAATGTTTTATGTCAGTTATATCTCAATTAAAAAAAAATTTACGACAAAGTAAAAAAAAAAAAAATTGACTCCTGCTCTATTTTCTGAAAATCTGTGATTTATTTAAAATTGTTAGCCTTAACTGATAGATAAATTGGACTTTATCAAAATTTAAAACTTCTGTGCTTCAAAGGACACTATCAAGAAAGTAAAAGACAACCACAAAGTGGGAGAAAATATTTGCAAATCATATGTCTGATAAGAAACTTGTTATCCAGAATATGTAAAGAACCCTTACAACTCAATCATAAAAGTAATTACCTTACTAATTCATTAACTTTTGATAGTCCTATATCTTCTGGTGTATTCTTGCACGGATGTTCGCTCAGTCGTGGGGAAGGAGGACAGTAGGGTAAGAGCTGATCTCTTTCCGATTTTGCACAAGTCTCAGTTCACCCTGCAGTTCTTATCCAAGGGAATGATGGCGGCTATGGGGGGGTCCTCAAGGCTTTTGCAGCCAAGCCCAGCAGCACGTTGCAGGCTCTTCCCCACTCCCACCTCCAAGAACACCGTGCTGCCCAGCCACAGAGGCCCGTCCTGTTGCTCCCACACACCGTGGCCCTTCCTTCCCCGTGATGTTCCAGCTCCCTAGAATCTGGACCTTCTCACCCCTCCAGCCACCCATCCACCTGGTGAGCTTACTCTTCAATGACCAACTCAATTCTAGCATCTTTCTGTAGGCTTTATGAAAAATCAATGGTACCTTCATGTGAGTGCCATAGAATTTTTCGCATACCCCCGAGTAAGCACTTATGTGGTATTACGTGTACTTGTTGCTTATAAGTCTGTCTCCTTAGGTAGACCCTGATCAGGCCCCTTGCAGCCAGGCACCACATCTTATTCACCTACTTAGCCTCAATCGAAGCTCACTGCCCAGCCATAGTAGATGCTTAGTAAATGTCTCACTGATGGAATTTTTAGACTGGGTAGAGCCTCTTTTAAGAGAAAGGTAGAGAGAAGTATAAGTGGTCCCAAAGTACCTGGAAGAAAGGGGTCTGACTCTACTGTGTGTATTTCAAAGTGAAGCAACAGAAACATAGGCTGCAATGAAGGCACTTTGTGTTGCTCAGAGGAAGGACCACACAGGTTCCCAGACTCAGCCTCCCATTCAGAGAAATAGATTCTGATTGCCAGCCTCTGCCATTGTGCCTGGAAGTGATTGTTTTTGGGTTTGCATATCCCACCCCTTTACATGCTTGGGTTGTAAACCATCTGACGGCTGATCCTGAATCATTAGCAAGTGACTTTCCATTCTTCTTAATGTACTTTCCATCTAATCAGTTTGCTGCCAGCTCACAGCCTTCAACCGCATGCCATTGGAATGATGCATCTTACCGCTCACTGCTTTTAACCTAGTTCCACTTGAACTCAAATCTCTCTTTTGGAAAATTCAACCTTATACCAGTCACCTTTGTGAGCCGAGTTGATGAACTGAGTTTGTTTCTTTGGTTTCTCCTTTTTGATGTACCTCCTTCTGGTTTGTTCATTTTGAATTTTTATTATGCTAGCTTTGTTTTCTTTCTTGCTCTCCCTTCTCTCATTTTGTTTTCTCCATTCTTCTCATTGGAGGCAATGAGCCATCCAGCGGCCGGAACTCCCCTCTCCCTTATCGGCCAGACAGCCGCCCTCTCACTCCAACTTACGCTCAGGCCCCTAAACATTTCCATGTTCCAGGTAGGAGCTGACATGGTGTGTGTCTTGGTGTCCTGTCACCGTGCAGAATGTAGCCTTGTCGCCTCTGTCTCGTCTCCATTTCTCATGCTCTTTTAATTGAGATGCTCACAGCCAACAAACCCTAAATTGCAGGACCTGACCTAGAGGGCCTTTCAAAAGCTTTGTATGGGAGATGCCAGGATTGTATTGAAGGTTTACATTTTCTCTAAAATTTTTGAAGGGGGATGGGAGGCAGAGGGTGAAGGAATAAGGGTTGAGTTGCTTTGTTTTGTCTTGTTTTGACAAAAATTTTAATTTTACCCTTATGTTAGTACCTTCTGAGATACCACTCTGTGGTTTAGTGTCATTGTCTAACACAATGGCAATCTAGTTACCTTCTCAGCCTAAAGACTGAACCACAGTGTTCTTGAGAGTACTTTTATTTTATCTGTTTGTCTCCAGTGTGGAGATTCTTTCTATGGACTTTTCAGGGAGCTGAAAAATTGGGTCATTTGGAGGGTCTTTCTGCAGTGTGTAATTAACTAACCACCTCCGTAGCCCACAAAGACATCTTGCAATTTAGGCTTGGTGCTATAAGCTTTGCTGTCATGGTACAAATAGTAATTTGCCATCAGGAACTGGAAAAATCAGAACCCATCAGTATCTTAATATTTAGGGTCAGCTCACAATCTTTGTGAAGGCAAGATTGGCCATCAGAAGTCATGATATTATTTTTCCATCAGAAGTACATTGTTTTGCTTTGTTTAGCTACTGAAAGTGGTTTAATAAATTACCCATTATGTTAATGTTAGCATACATATTTGGAATCTGTAGTAGTTTTTCTCTTTTGCATTCCAAACTTACCTAGAAGTTTGAACAGAGGAAAGTTCAATGGGATTCATACCACTGAGATAGGACTGCCTTTAAAAAATACATATAAATGAAGTTTCATCGAACCTTGAAAATCAGTGTTGTATGTTTGCAACTTTTTTCATAAAGAATGCCCAACCAGTATCCAGTGCCCAAGATTCTGGGGAAACCTTTTGAAACCTACTGAGTATTTGCAGTCAAAGTTTAATGGTTGCATAATCAAATGGGGTTCTATATAAATATATGAATAATATTTGGCATTTCTTTACTTTTCCTTTCTTTTGTAAAATTTGGCCTATACAAACTAGGATTTTGTCAAACATCCTGTCAATACATCAGACTAGCCTCGCACCTAAAAATTGTTTCTATGTTTTACAAAAATATACTCTTAATTTTCACTACATCGCTTTCCACTGTTCCACTCATTAGTTGAAAAGTAAATTGAGCCACTGGTCTCTACTGGGAGCTCAATTTCGAGACAGTAGCAATTTGGGGATCTTCCCCAAACTGGTTATGTCTTCCTCACCATCACAGTATCTGCACTGCTTGCATTTCTTCCTGTTTTAACCCCACTTTTAGTGAAGTGTATATTTGAAATAAATGGCTCATGAGTGAATGACATCTCTCTATATCCTAAGATGTATTACAAAGGATTCCATGTCACATGTCTATAGTAATTCACTCATTCCTGTAATTTCTTCTTCCAGTAACCTCAATCTTTGTAATACAAAAGTTAACCTTCTGGGTTATTTTTGTTAGAGAATCTTCAGTTTGGTTTGCCTCTTGGTTGATCTGTTTTTCCCATCGGTGGATGGCTCCCCATAATCACACACCTTTGCTTTTCATTTCCACAGATCAAGGGATCAACATTTACCGAAAACCACCCATCTACAAACAGCATGGTAAAACCCGCTTTCCTCCGCGTAGCTTTTAAATAGCAACGTCAGCTGAACTCTTCACTGTCCTCTGAAAGGCTTACCTGCTGCTGCTTTTGAGAATCAAACTGGGGCGTCCAGTGTATTATGCCTTCATGGTCTCCTATGATGCAAATATTGTGAAGTCGGTTTTCCTAGATAGAGAACACTTAGCTTGATTAGGAAACTCCTAGCTTATTTCTGAGCCCATCGAACCATGTATCATTACACTCATAGAGAAGGAAAGGTACGGTCACACAGTAATTCACAAACTCCCTAACAAGACTTTTTTTGAGGGCCATCAAATAATTTAACCAACCTCTCTGATAATTTTGATGAGCTTGCAATTAGTTTAACTAATTAAAACTAGTGAAGGCTAGCTACCTAAAAATTAATTTGACCAAGGGAATTCCCTGGCGTTCCAGTGGTTAGGACTCTGTGCTTCCATTGCAGGGAGCACAGGTTCGATCTCTGGTCAGGGAACTAAGATACCGCAAGCTGTGTGGCCAAAAAAACATTAACTTGACCAAGCTTCCATCAGCCTGACTGTCCAGTTCCCCAGTTTCTGATGGAGCATGCAGATGTCTGCACCCTGTGGTAGAGGGGATGGGACTCATGCTGAGACAGAGGCCCTAGCCTTGATCCCAGCTGTTCACCTAAACGGTTCTGTGATATCAGAAACGTAACCTCTGTCCCTCAGTTTTCTCATCTGCAAAAACCAGTACATTAGGCCAGCTTGTCTCTGAAATTCCTGCAAGCTAAGAACCACTGATGTGGATTTATAATTGTGTTTTCCTTTTCTGGGAATATAGAATTTTTAAACCCAGGAAATCATATTACTCTTTGTAAATCACATTTCCCTCCAACATTGTTAGGTCTCTATAGATTCAGCTGCTATAAATCTTTGTGAATGGGTAGAAAGCCAAGACTGGTCTCCAGGTGATTTCAGAAAATTATACACAAATTGTGCCTGGAAATTTGAAGGCTGCCTTTAGAATCCAGTTGACATTAATGAGTCCTAAAGGCTTAGGATGACCTGAAAAGCAAATAGAGTTGAAAATGCAAAAAGGAAAAAAATTTCAGGCCAACATTCTAGGGGGAAAAGAATGCATGTATTGTAATGGTTCTAGAACTATGATTTTTTTTCATCTGTGTTTTTTTTTTTGAGTTTACACCATGTGCTTGCTTTTTTAAGTTTCTTAACCTTGTTTTTGTTTGCTTTTTTTATGGTTTAATGTCTTCTCACCCACTCATTAACATGTGAATGTTTACTGACTTCACCAATTCTAATGCGTAAGTACTGTTTGAAGTCTGGCTTTAAAAATATATATTTTTTTAAATTTAAGAATAAGATTCCCAGTTTGATTTATCAGTTTATAGAGACTTTTTTTAAAATACTAAAATCTCTAAGACCCTGCCTCTCAAAATAAAAATAATCAAATACTTAAGATTTAAAAAGATAGGATAATGTTAGGTTATTTATTTGGAAGGGATTAGTTTGCTTCTTTCTGTGAAATTGACTTTACTCTTTACTTTCGTTCAGTCTCTTGTAATTAAGAGTAGCACAACCAGAGCGGTACATCCCAAAGGACATTCTGCAAAAGAGCAATTCTCTGTGATAGAAATAGATGTCATACCAAAAACTGGTGTCTATGCCCTGTGCATTTGGAAAATGCTAGACTTAACTAAATATGCTATGTTAGTCTTAGTCTTTAATATGCTAACACATATAGTCTTAGTCTTTAATATGCTAACACATATAGTCCTTCTTTAAGAAGAGGATATAGTGTGCAGTGTTTTCCAAGCTGATTTTATCTTTTATACTCATGAGGTTAGAAATTCAGAAAAACACTGTTCCATGCCTGGCTGAGAATTTACCCCTTATTATTACGTAGGGCGACCTCAGTCAAGTTACTTAAGCAAATTGAGACCCAGAAAGTTACTTAAAAAATGTGGAATTGGAGATGAAAATTCAAAAAGTTACTTCCAGATTTAAAAATCTGTGAGCCCAGGGAGGGGGGCAAATTTTATTTATAGCATTATAAATATATTGTGGAATGTTTAGTAACATCCCAGGTCAGCTTGCAGAATTAGCCAGAATCAGGGACTGACCATTTAACCTGGTTTGTTTTGCTCCACTTCTGTGATTCCATTTGGGGCTCTAAGCCAATGACTCCACCTATCAGCACAGCCATTAAGAGCTCTGCGAACTCATGCTGCTCCTATTCTGGCTTTTGTGGTTTTAAAGCTGGATGACTCATTTGTATATGCAGCCCCTTGAACAAAACAGCGAGTGGGTATGGCAAACCCAAGTCTCAAGGCTAAATGCCTGCAAGCTGACAGTGGATTCTCCTGCTGCCACTTCACCTAGGAATCAAGGACACATATACAATAGGCAAGGATTGAAATGAACCGGACCAATATTTTTGTGGCTGAGAAGCCACAAAAATTCAAAGCCAACCAACTCTCTTATGATTAACACCTACAGTCAAGTGACAATGTCATGCTTTTCACTAACCTCTTTAATTTCAAATTAACTAGATTCAAATTTCTAATTGCTCTAGAACGGTCCTGTGGAACTTTCCGGGATGATGGAAATGTTCTATAACTATACTGTCCAATACAGTAGCCGCTAATCACGTGTAGGTGTGGATCACATAAAATGTGGCTAGTGCCACTGAGGAACTGAATTTTAATGTTATTAATCATTTGTTTTATTTAATTGTGTTAATTTAAATGTAAATAGCCACGTGTAGCTGGAGCTAGTATTGGACAGCACAGCTCTGGAACAAGACTTTTCAGATGTAGAACAGATGTAGAATGAAGCTTTGCTTCTGGCAGAACGTAAGGAGGATGAGTCGAGTTGTCACTAGGAACTATTAGTGACGGGGTGATTGATAATGGTGATAAACAGCTCTCTGGAGTTCACACTTTTTGCCAGAGCACGAGAAAACTATGTAAGAGGATTGTATACTACCATGGCCTTACAGACCGATAGCTAAGCTGCCCCTGATTCCCATCCAGATGCAGCTGCCTTGGCAGCCCAGAGCAAGTCTTCAGAAGACATCATCAAGTTTTCCAAGTTCCCAGCAGCCCAGGCTCCAGACCCCAGCGAGATACCAAAGATTGAGACGGACCACTGGCCTGGTCCCCCCTCACTTGCCGCCATAGGTATGCAACTGTAGCAGCTAAGCCAAATGGACAAATTGCTAGGAGATCTCAAAATGCAGTGCTTAAAAATATGCAAGGAAATGTGTCCTAGTGTAAAGATTTTTTAAGAAAAGTATGACCAAGAGTTAGAATAGTGAAAAGAACTAAGGTAGTGTTAACGTGTGTGCAGAATGCTTCAAAAATCCAACCACCAGAGCCTTGTGCTAACCAAGCCCAGTGAGGTGCAGAACTGGTCTAAAACGGGTGTTTTGCGTGGACTCTCAGTTATTATTGTAAAGTCAGTAACTTTTTTTTTTTTTTTTTTTTTTGTGGTACGCGGGCCTCTCACCATTGCAGCCTCTCCCGTTGCGGAGCACAGGCTCCGGACGCGCAGGCCCAGCGGCCATGGCTCACGGGCCCAGCCGCTCCGCGGCACGTGGGATCCTCCCGGACCGGGGCACGAACCCATGTCCCCCGCATCGTTAGGCGGACTCCCAACCACTGCACCACCAGGGAAGCCCCAGTAACTCTTTTGAACATAGTTGAATCAAAGCCTCCTGCCAAGAACTTTGTTCTATATAGTTAGAGCATAGTGGGTGGATTTACTGAGTGTCCACAGAAGTGTGACTTCTTTGAATTAAGTTTGTTTTAGACGATTTCTGGGTTGTAATTACGAATCTCTTAACAACCAGTCTTAACACTGAAGCTCTTTCATTTTTCTTGCCTGATCATGTTCTGCATTACTAAGAAGGGCTGTTACAGAGTAGCAGGTGTTCTGGAATATTACTCATGTAAAGTTACATGATTTCACATCTGTCATTTCCATGACTTCTGTGCTAAAATGTCACATTGGAGCTGTTTCATTCTTTGCTTTGAACCACACATTTATGCTTTAGAACTGTCTGTTTACTGCTTTGTCATTAGTGAAATCACTTGGCCCTAAAAAATGGTATTAGCAAACTCAGAAGCTAGTACTGAAAATTTAGTGAGTCAGCTTTACAAAGATATGACTATCTTATCACATTTCTGTTGACAACCTAAAAGGCCTTCAATTTTCCAAAATTCCCAAATTTTCTTCATCCTGCTATTTTTCGCCAAGTTATTTTTGGAATAACTTTTACAGGCAATAGAAGTGGATTTTAAAGCAATTGATATCTATAGAAATAGTTGAAGGAAAAATCTATTATACCTCCTGGGTTCCTTATTCACAAGTATTCTATACGTTATGTTGACTTAAGATGTATCTAGTTCTTGAAAACTTATGTCTATTCATTTTTGTTAGTGTAGATTAAAGAGAGAAATTCACATTGATATTCATGATTTTAGAAACTAAGACTCAGTCGTCAGCTTTTTTTTTCTGCTGGTCCACGTCCTTCAGGCAGTTCTTGGAGCCGCTGAGGTTCCTAGTTCAGTCGTGTTGCATAGCAGGGACATTAAACTGCTAAACTTTGGGGGAGAATTAACATTTTGTTGTTACCAACTGTCATCACTAAATAGTTTGGGGTTCCAAAATGAAGAAAGCTTCTGGTCCATTAATCCAACTGATCAAACCCTGAAGGTATTAGTTAGAGTTTATTTTGATTAGATTAGCAGGCTTTCCTATCTCTTCCCACAGCTAAATTAGTCCAAGCCATTTAGGAAAAGCGATAATTATCTTAATTTTCCAGCCATTCAGACAGATTCCTCCTTTCCCCTCCATCTCCCCTTTTCCAGGAAGCTTAAAAATTGTACGTGATCTGCTCTATTATACTGAAATAAGTAACTTTTTAGCTGCATTAACCCTTTTTATTGGCCCATTAGTATAAAACCCTTTTGTGACCATTTTCTGAAAGATTAAGAGCAAGGAAACATTAGAGACCCATCCCTTCAAAGAAAAATAAAGCATGCTTCTTTTTTCTTTTTTTAAAAAAATATTTATTTATTTGGTTGCACTGGGTCTTAGTTGCAGCAGGTGGGCTCTTTAGTTGTGGCTTGAGAGCTTCTTAGTTGTGGCTTGCTGCCTCCTTAGTTGTGACACATGGGCTCCTTAGTTGTGGCATGCAAACTCTTAGTTGTGGCATGTATGTGGGATCTAGTTCCCCGACCAGGGATCGAACCTGGGCCCCCTTCATTGGGAGCGTGGAGTCTTAACCACTGAAGCATGCTTCTTAATGAATTTATTGGAGGTAAAAGACAGGGTGATGGTATGGTGACAAACCTAAATATTCAGAAAAAGAAAACAAGATTTTTAAATTCGTCACAAGAGACTGTCTTACCTATTTGATGGTATCTAGATGAATCTGGCTTCCTCTATTTGAACAATGACCTCAGGGACATGAAAATAATAACCGTAGATGCCCCTTCCACCTACTATGGAAGCTGTGGCCAGTGGGCTGACTTAGACCCAATCATAATGGCAAACCGAGTTCTAATTGAGCAGATCCGATTATTGGGAGGCATGCCTTACTGAATCACATTTTTGGACTGGCTTGTCGAACGGGGCCCGTTGTCTCAAGAAACCAGCTGAACTGGTGGCAGGCTCTTTTTTCCCATGTGTTGTTCACGAATGTTGAAGACCTCTGCTGACTTTGCCCGCCTGACACGTTGAGCACAGGTGGACTGGTCCCTTGAGCTCCCCTTGCTGTGGGGCTAACGTGAGAGGTTGTCTTTGCTGTGGACTTAGGAGCTGACATGAGACGCAGATCTAGTGGCAGAGAGGAAGACGACGAGGAACTGCTGAGACGCCGGCAGCTACAAGAGGAGCAATTAATGAAGGTTTGTCCTTAAGCTACTTTGCTGCAGCCTTCACTTCGGTTCTGTCTTCTGTCGATCCATGTTACTGAATGATTGCTATGGGCGAGCCACCAAGATTAGCAGGGGGTACTCCCAGCCCTCAGGGGCTTACGGTCCAGTAGGAGAGACAAGATGGGCATCTAGTGACTGTAATAAGGCAGATACTTAGCGGGTTCTGGAAGAGGTGATCTGGAGGTCAGAGAGATGCAGAATGTTTGGGCCTTTTCGAGGAGAGCGAGACTCTGTGTGGGGTGTGTGGGTGTGCGGTGCATGTGTTGAAAGGATGCTGAAAAGCCAGGTAAAGCCAGAGTGCACTCCGAGGTGGTACAACACCTTCCTTCCCTCACGCAGGCTCTGCTGAAGGGATTCCCTTGGGAAAGAGCCTTTCTCCAAGTCTTTCCTCAGGACTCATAGGACCTTGTGTGTGTATATCTGGGCCGAGAGAGGGGATAAAATGGACTGTCGCTAAGACATCCTCATTATACACTCTGTCTCTAGCTAGGCCCACAGCATCCCAGAAGGCCTGGGGTTGAGGGAGCCTAGAAATGATCAACTCCTACTAATAAGGGTCATTTTCCAAAGATACTTCATCATGTGGGGAATGCACACGATACTAGTTATATAAGGGTACAAAGTTACATTTATTATGTGTTCCCAGTTTTGTATATTATGTGCGTAGAAAACTACTGGGTAGATACAGATCAGAATGTAAATGGTGGTTGTCTCTGAGTGGTGGATTATGGGTTCTTCTTTCCTTCTGGGTTTTCTAGAATCTGTACAATGAGCATGCATTATTTTTTCCCCTGTTTTTAAACAAATCAGTGTAATTTATCTTTAAAGGCTACTGCCCCCAGTCTTCCCTTCCCACATCAAAAATCTGTACATACTCAACACATTGCCCTCCTGAGTCTACCTGCTGGCGCTTTGCGGGGAGGGCAAAGGAGGGAGAACACTCTTCTGATGTGGAGCCTGGTTTAGGGCAACAGAGCCTTGACATTGAAGGGACTATGGTGGTTTCAAGGTCCAAGACCTGGCTGACCTTTTGGGGAGCCACCAGGCTCTGGGACAATATGCCTCAGCCCTCTCCAGAGTCAGGAACTTCTTGCAGGATCTCCTAAAAAGAAACTGCAGTTCCCTAAAGGTAATTGCGGGCTTCACTTTCATTTTTCTTTCCTCTGTGAATAGCTCAACTCGGGCCTGGGCCAGTTGATACTGAAAGAAGAGATGGAGAAGGAGAGGGAGAGCCGGGAGAGGTCCTCCCTGGCCACCGGGCGCTATGATTCTTCCATCAACTCAGGTGAGCAGCAGACCCATCGCCTTCCCTGAGCCAGGAGCTGGCCACCTGCCTGCAAGGAGCCTGTTTTGAGGGTTCCAGGAGAGGCAGGGTGGTTTCTGGTGGAATCTACAGAGTGTTCTATAGGAAAGGAAGTGTAAGAATCCTATGTCATGTCAACTTAGCTTAAGAGCCTGCCATGGCTCTTCCTTAAATGTGTGTTTCCTTCCTGTTGGAAATAGGGGGAGCCCTTGGAGGATCTCAGGAACCAAGAGGGGTCAGTTCCCTTGTGCTGGGTCTACCTTCTAGAACATACATCTCAGAGGGAAGCGGCAAAAAGAAAATCCTCATAGAGAACAGAATGCTTTTTATAATTTTTTTCTTTTTTTTTGATTTGGTTGCACTGTGGGACATTAGTTCCCTAACCAGGGACTGAACGCGTGCCCCCTGCGATGGAAGCACAGAGTCTTAACCACTGGACCGCCAGGGAAGTCCGAGAACAGAATGCTTTTTAACTGTAGAGAGCATGAACAATTTTTTCAAAGTATTATGACTTTAGTATATTCAGTGTAAGAGCTGAGGGCTAACAGTGCTGTTGTTGATACTTTTGAAAGAGATTACTTATATACTGGGCTGAATAGTCTTTCGGTATATTCTCCCCTGCTTATACTTGTCATAAGCCTGTTCTCTTTTAACCCACAAGATATGTTCTCACATGTTGTGAACTAGTACATAATTTTCTCTCCTGAGGATTCCTTTAAACATGTGTTTAGTGCTTCCTATGCAAACACTTCTGCTAAACATTATTTCATTTAATCTTCACAACATACCAGTGAAGTAGATGGTATTATGAGTATTATCATGTTCCCCATCTTGTAGATCAGGAGACAAGTAAAGGGAAGTTTAAGTAACTTACCCGATGTCACATTGCTGATAACTACCAAAACTAAGGTTTAGGAGTCCAAGTATTATAACCCCAGAGCCTACACCCTTAACCGGAATGCCCTGCTACTTCTCATAGATGTGTCACTGGCATTAATCTTGGATTAGGTAGTTTAGTAATCTTTAGAGTTCCTTCCAATTCTGCAGTTCTGTTGTATAAAAATAAATAGCACTGTATCTACATGGGTCAAGAAATGAAGACTTAACAAGATGGAATACGATGCCCGAAGATGCAGAGGTGTTAAGTTGCAGAGCCAAAACTCAGGCCCAGGTCCACTCCCTCCAAAGCCCAGCAGTTTATGAGGTGTCCACGCTGTTGATCAATGGGATACCCTATCCCAAGCCTCCCAGGAGTCCAACTGTGGTTGACCAGTAGATCTTGGTAACTTAAGTGTAGGCCTCCAGATCAGTTATTGCTGCCATACCAACTGGGGCTTGGGCCTGTGTATCCCAATAGCCCTGGGTTTAGATCATTGCTTAGATCTTTACAAGCTGAGCAACCGTGGGCAAGATACTTAAATTTCTATTAGCCCCTATTTCTTCTCCTGTAAGATGGAAATACTACCATCATTATTAGGATTGTGTTGAGGATTCAGAGATGCCAAGCACTTCTCCCTTCCCCATCCCTCCTCGAAAATTTCACTGCCCACCCATTCCCTGCATCACCCAAACATGGTGGCATTTTATGAACATTTGAGCCCAATATTTGGATTGTTTTTTTCTAAATCTTCTATTCTGTAGGGTAGAAGATACACTGCCGACTTCATGAAAGAATTGGACTTCGGGTTCCTAACAGTTACTTTTTTTATCTTTCTCTTATTCAGCTTCACATGCTCTGTCATCAAAAACCTCATCTCTCCCAGGCTATGGGAAAAACGGGCTTCACCGGGTGAGATTTCTCAGTTACTCGTTTCTGAGTCTCTTCCCTCTTGAGTCCTGGTTGAAGTGCTGATGTATTGTCTGAATACATCTGACAATATGATCTCAGTGTTGGATATAATGAAAATTGTAATCACCCTGCTCTCCTGGTAAATCACTTTGAGTTACAGGCAAAATAAGATATTTCTATTGAGAGAAAGAGAAATTGACTTTAGATAAAAGAATAGCCTGTATAAGCTTATGGGAAGACTAGATTAATTGTGTGCCAAATATTTCTACAATCAAGCAAAAAGTAATTACTGGAGCCATTATCTCTGCTGTAAAAAGATACAGGAAAGTTTGTTACAACCTCCCTCCCCGCAAAGCATAGAACAAGTGTAACTGTGTAGCCGTGATGTGGAAAAATGTGTTTTTATTTATCAGCAAGAGATACTTGCTTGCCAAGGACCTGCTGAGCAGCAGTAGCATAGGATAACCACAAAACACAGGTATTTCATAGAAGAAGAACTACGTAGGAAAAATAATAGGGGTCCAGGAATTCGGCTTGGGAGGAATTCTTAGGATTTTGTAAACCCCATCTTCCTTTTCACCTGACTCCAAAACGAGTACCGGGGAGCAGATTTTCTAATGGTGTGTTTTTCTTCATTGCAGCCTGTTTCTACAGACTTCGCTCAGTACAGCAGCTATGGGGATGTCAGCGGGGGAGTGCGAGGTGAGGCCCCTGCAGCCGGGTGTTGGCTGACCAAGGGGAAGAAGGGGCTGTGCTGTCACAGGCATGTTAGCTGGGCTCAGGCTGTGTCACATCCTACGGTCAGATCACATCTGTCCTCTGAGCCATCAGGGCATGTATTAAAATCCCAGAGGATCTCTCCTGATGTGAGACCACAAGAAGCGAGTTTGTAGGAGGGAATTCATTGCTCCTACTATGTGCTGAGCACTAATTAGGTCCCTGGAAGTACCGTGATAAGCAAGACAGGGGCCTACCTTCAAAATGCATGTGGCTACAGATGAACTGGTGTGCAAGGCAGAACAGAGACACAGATGTAGAGAACAAATGTATGGACACCAAGGGGGGAAAGCGGGGGGCAGGGCTGGGATGAACTGGGAGATTGGGATTGACATATATACACTAATATGTATATAATAGATAACTAATAAAAAATGCATGTGACAGAGACAGAGAGAGAGAAACTCTGTGAGATAAATGCTATGATCGGAGATGCAGAGAGAAGGGAGAAACACCTTCAGGGTGTCAGCTTCCACAAGAAAGGGTGTTTAAACTGATAACTAAAACCAGAGCGGGCATCTTCCAGCTTCAGGGAGCAGCCAGGCAGTGTGCGCAGAGACCCGGAGCCGGGAGAGCGTGGCTTGTTGGGGGATGTTTGGAGAATTGCAATAGGTTATAATCTCTGTTGATGTTTCCCTATTTTAATATGGGCTTGCCCTTCTGAGATTTTCTTTTTCTTTCCTTTCCAGACTACCAGGTATGGAACACTGTCTTTCCCAAGTTGGCCACACCAGCAAAACAGCCTTTTCACAATCCAGACATGTTCTGCTGCTCCAGGGAAGGGTTTCTGTTGAGAAGACCCTGACTGTAGTTGATCCGTCTAATCGTTAGTCCACAGATGTGAGGAGCCATGAGCAGCAGGCATGCCTGGTGCCCGGGTCAAGCTGGTCCTGCAGGCCTGCATGAGCCACACCAGGTGTCCGAGGACAGGACCCTCTTGCTCTGCCTTTGGAGAGTCCTCTCTGGGGTGGAAGTGGACCTGCATCAAGGGTCCACACACATACAGTTGCTTTTTCTTTTAGTTATAACCACTCACTCCTTGAGGCCCTCCCCTCCTCTGTGTGGTCACAGATGAAAAGAAACCCCTGTCTTGGCCAATAGGAAAGAGCTGCTGTGGTACCATTCCTTTTTTCCTAGAACCTAAACCTTGTAAAATGATAATGGAGAATGAGAAAAGGGGAAAAATGCAAAGAAGGCTAAGATTAGAATTTTTAAAAAAAACAAAACACAAGCATAGACCTGGCAATTCTTTGACGTACCATATACTTTAACACGTGCAGCCTACATTCAGGGATTAGTCAATAGTTATTAAGCCAACATCTTTCATCAGCTGAAGTATAAAAGCAGCATTCCCGCTATGCCTGCTTTTATTTAACAAGGAGCTCATTTTGAAAAATCCATGGTAATTAAGGTGACACATCTCTAAAATGGCCGTGAAGATTTGAGACCCAAACAGGGAGGTCTAGGAGCCCACAGAGCTCTCCCTCAGCTCCCCATGCTGCCATGGGCCACTCCTGAAACCTGCATTTCTGCTGCAGACCCTCCCAGATGGCCACATGCCTGGAATGAGGATGGACCGGGGTGTCTCCATGCCTAACATGTTGGAACCAAAGGCAAGTGTGGCTCTTTTTCTCTTTCCTCTCACATGGGATGAAACTGGGACATAACCCTGAAAAGATTTGATTTTCTATCTTTTTCACCATTTTCAGGGTTGAGACCCACTTGGCTCCAGGCCAGTGCATTAGGCAGGGTGTGTCATAAAGCATCTTTCCACTCTGTGGGTTTTGTCACACCGAGTCAGCAGGTTTAAGCCCTCACTGGGTCTGGTGCTGTGTGTTCCCAGTGAAGTACCAGCACTTCTCTCCTGTGACCTCGGTGTGTACTTGGCCCCTGCCATGAGCATGGCAAAGCCTGCTCCATGTGGAGCAGCTGCAGCCCGCTCCGGATAGGGTGACCAACACATCCTAGCTTACCCAAGACCTTCCTGGTTTTAGCACCGGAAGTCTTGCATCCTGGGATCCTCCTTAGTCCCAAGCAAACTGGGATGATTGGTTGCCCCAGCTCCAGAACATCCTGTGACTCCAAAGGTATCCAAGAGCTGTGCTCCTTGGTGACTATAACTGGGGCTTATTTCAATACGTCATCTACCAAAACACTGCTTCTGGGACTGCATGGCTCCCTGGATTCATGAGCTGGACATGGAACAAGATTGTTTAACCCTACAAATGTGTACTGCCTTGTAAAACATAAACCTATAATTTCAATTCTCTTCCAATTTTTACCTTCATCCCCAATACATAGTAAGTTGTATTCTTTTACTCAGCAACGCCCTCCAGAGGCACAGTGCCACATGAGACACTTGTGGGTACTGGAAATGTATAGGAACCTGCCCCCGTCTGCTGGAGACTTGAGTGAGGAACGCCCATCACTCTAATACTCTAACCATAGTGTCTTAGAAGCTCTATCTTGGGAGTCTTAGATTTTAGGTAGCTTCTGCTTGTTGATAAAATGGACAGCGGTGGGAATATTTCCCTGGCAGTCCAGTGGTTAGGGCTCCGCACTTCCACTGCAGGGAGCACGGGTTTGATCCCTAGTTGATCTAAGATCCCACGTGCCACATGGCCAAAAAAAATAAAAATAAAAAAATGGACAGCAGTATTCTAGGTGTTTTTCTTTGCTTCTCAGATATTTCCATATGAAATGCTGATGGTGACCAACAGAGGGCGCAGCAAAATCCTAAGAGACGTGGACAGAACCAGGCTAGAGGTAAAAAAAACAACAAACAAACAAAGAAACTTGTCCCAACTGCATATTCCTGTGCATTTTCCACAACTTCCCCCTAAGAAATGTTCCAGTTAAAGCAAAAAGATAAAAAGGATCAACCTAGGTTAAACTAAGCTAACTTGGAGGAAAACCCAAATTTGTATTTAAGAGATGAGCACAAAAATGTATGGTAAAATTCAGAAGAGCAACCCAGGAGATGCAGTATGATTTTAGTCATTTTCTCTGGAAATTTGATGTTGCCCTAATTTATGGCTGGTGATGTAGAATGGAGTCTCCATCACTCTTCAGATACCCCCAAATCCTTATCTTTCTCTGAGCCTGGGTTGAGTTTGCTGAGATTGGGGAGGGAGTGTTCACTAAAGAGGTGTGTACTAGGCAAGTTTCTCCCTTGGCTGTTTCCACATTCCTTGTCGAAGGGTTAGCTGGGTACACGTACCCAAGACCTCCTTAGATGTGGAAGACTGATCTTCGTACCTTTCCATCTGAATGGTTTTAATTAAGAAAAACTCTGGCTGCTAATCTCATAAAGAATCATTAATTTTCTCTGACAAAAAGCAGTACATCCGTATGTGAGGTCAGGGTGGCACAGAGAATAAAGGCTCCACTATCCTAAGAGAACCTTACTAGGCGGACAAGAGATTGAAGTCCTTGGTCTCCTCAGTAGACCAAACATCCACCTGAACTCCCACTGCTGAGCCAGGAAAAAGCCCCAGGGCTGCCAAAGGACCACTCTGGAAGTCTCCCTCTGGCTTCCTTATTGCTCTGGTCCATTTTCCCTGCATCTCCTCAGCGTCCCAAGGACCTGAAGTGGAGTCACCTCCAGCATAATGACTCATCTTACCGTGCCCAATCGCCATTCAATGTTATTAACAATCATCATTAATACTCCACCAGCTCTTTTCTTTGGTGGGAAGGGTGCCTCACCTGGCCTGGCCAAGTAAGGAACCACTGGGTCCAGTGCCTGCTAAGAAGCCTCAGAGATAAACTCCTCTTCCATCATTCTGCCTTTTGCTCTTCAAAACAATTACTTATAAACTGGAGAGCAACTCTCAAGGTCATCCATGTGGCCATCAGGACTGACCACTGTTCTCTTCTCTCATCACAGCGCCACTTAGCCCCAGAAGTGTTTCGGGAAATCTTTGGAATGTCCATCCAGGAATTTGACAAGTTACCTCTTTGGAGACGCAACGACATGAAGAAAAAAGCAAAACTCTTCTGAGTACCACACATAGACAGCAATTAGAAAAAGGACTGACCATGGCGGTGACACATAGGATGTTGTAGTGAGGCCCAAACTTGATTGGAGAATTTGCAAACTACTGTCCCTCAGCAACAAAAGGGAAAATCTGATTAAAACACCCATGAGCCAAATGATGGGCCAGCCCATGGCAACATTCGCCCAGAAGCAGTGGGGTAGAAATGTCTGTGTTCCCACCCTCGACAGTAGTGTTCACGTGTGACCTTTTTCCATCACCTTATGTGCACAGCAGGAGCTACTTTTGTTTTCTTTCAACTGTTATTCAATAATAGTGTGACTGTATGGGTAAGAGCCAGCAAGTGCCCTTAGGATGCCGCATGGACAAACGCAGTTGTAATAATTCCAAAGTACGAGTATATTTATTATGTAGCGCCGCGGCTGAGAAGGAAGAGTCCAAGGGATAGATCCACGTGGCAGCAGCCTTTGCCCTGCCTTTCCTCACTGGCCTCCTGCAGCCCTGCCTGGGCTTCAGCAGGAGGGAAAGCAGAATCGGGGCCCCCGGCAGCTCTGTTTCAATAGCCACTAAAGTCATTTTTAACATGCTCCTTGTCCCCTACTGTTTGCTAGGACCTGATTGGCAAATTACTCAGCCTATTATTACTTTTTATTTTATTTTTTTTGCGGTACGCGGGCCTCTCACTGTTGCGGCCTCTCCCGTTGCGGAGCACAGGCTCCGGACGCGCAGGCTCAGCGGCCATGGCTCACGGGCCCAGCCGCTCCGCGGCATGTGGGATCTTCCCTGACCAGGGCGCGAACCCGTGTCCCCTGCATCGGCAGGCGGACTCTCAACCACTGCGCCACCAGGGAAGCCCACTTAGCCTATTATTAAAAAGAAAAAAGAATTAAGAGAAAGAGAGGAAAAAGGAGTGAATGAAAGTTCTCCTTAAACCCTTTTCTACTTCAGAAAGCGTGCTGCTCTGCACCAAGGACAGGAGATGTCTCAGCCCCGCAGCCCTCCACTCTTACAAAGAAAGGAAAGGGGGATTGTCTCCAGATTGGCCCAGTTGTATGCTGTTAGGTGAGTTTTGTCCAAAGGCCACAGCAGTCTTGATCAAAAACAAAAGTTCTGTCTCCTCTCAGTGCAAGTTCTCCCACCCAGCAAACTCTGCTCTCTATCTGGCATTCTCTAAATCACATCAAGCCCTCGCTGATTTTGGTTTTTTTAAGGTCTTTTCAGTAGTAGGCTAAGGAAAGGCATGTTTTTCTCTTTGAAATCTCTGCAACTCCAAGGTAGATTGCCTCAGAATGATTTAATTTGGTCTTTTGAGCTTTCTTTCTTGCCTAGCTCTGTGGACTTCCTGGTTTGCATGTGTGTGTTTATGTGTTTTCACTCACCCAGGGCAGTTTTGGTGAGTCTGCATGTGCTTTTAAATTTCATTCCTGCCCGAATGTTTGTCCCACTGTGCTGCAGCTCCTCAGGGACGTTCGCACAGGTGCACATGACTCAAAGGTCAAGAGTGAGGCTAACTGCATCCCTGCCACCAGGTCCCCTGTGGAAGGGTGTTGGTGGTTAGAAGCCAGCATATTCCATGACAGATGTAGCTCAAGTCAGCATCAGACCGAAGACCGCAGACCTAGGATCAGACTGTGTGTAGACAGCAGAACATCTCACCGGAGTCCTCAAACTCAGTAACACAAGATTCACATTGGTGCCGAAGATTACCCCAAAACTTGCATTTAAGACCCCACCATGGTTCCTGAAAGCCTCTGGCTGAGACTCAGACAGGACGTGACTTACATGTAGGAGGTTGTCACATCTATTCTCATGTTTTGGGGCTCTGTTTAAGAATTTAAACTCTATGTTAAAGCCAAAGAAGAAAACATCTGAATTCACCTGCGTATGCCACTAATAATAAAAGCTCAGAAATTCTTCCTGCTGGCACCAAGTATTAGAATGAGTTAGTAGCTGACACCAGTGGTAAAAAGCAAGTAGAATATTCTTTCTGATCTTGTACTGCAGACCTAACTTGTGACACACTCTAGCAACCGGCTGCTGTAGTGAATACTGCAATCTCTTTATAGTATTCTGTGTGCTTCCCAAGGGAATCTAAACCGGCTGGACCTTTGCTAGACATTGAATGTTTGAGGACTCTTCTCACAAATACGTGTGTGTGTGTGTGTGTGTGTGTGTGTGTGTTGGACCTACTAACATATTTAGCAAATGGCTCTGATGAGGTAGATGTGAGGAGACCAGCTCCTCCTTGGACTGAAGGCAGACTGCAGCCCACAGTTTCGCCCCTTTATCTATCCGTTGCCTCTTGCTTCATTCAGTACATCCGCTGTCCCATCTTCTGTGACCTCTCCTGCATGGGTAGCCTGGGCACAACGCCTGTGTGTCCTAATCCGTGCTTCGCTCTGGCAAAGTGTGAGGGGTGAGGACCGTGGTGTAGTCCCAGTGTTCCCCTGACACGACCAGTAACAAGGATGGCCAAACGTATCCAAGGTTTCGGCTGGAGGAGAGGTTTTTTTTCATTGGCTAATGAGTTATAATCCACGTACTTGCAGATTAAATGTCAGTGTAAGAAAAATGGCGATGATAGTTAAAGAACTGAGCCCTAAATTTGCCCCCACTAATGAAACTCTGCTTTTCTTGTAACTTTTGAATTCAGTTTTGCATCCATCTTGGCGGGGTGGGGGGTGGGGAATAGCTTCTTTCCATATCAAGTGTATGAGCTAATTTAAACTACACCGTGCAAAAATGCCTTGCCGGAACATGCCAGCAGCCTCCTGGCCGCAAGCAGAGCAGTGCTGTGCTCTAGGGAAGGGGGCACTGGGAATGCAGAGCGGGCTTCCCAACCCCACTCCCCAGCAGAAGGCTCCAGCCACGGGCACAGGTCACAGGGCAACCTGATTCTTCCGACTGCCAAATTGAATCAGTGGGGCTCCAGCGCCCTGTGTGTTTCGTTGAACTGGACTGAGCGTGTGTGTCCCGAAAATGTCCCGGTCACTGCACAGGAAATCAGCACTGTCTGCTTGAACCCTGCCCCGCATAGAAAGATTCCAGTTGTTAACACAGTCCAGTTAAGGAGGGTTGTTTACTCTAGGAAAGGAAGTATACACATGGTAAGCTTCCCTAGTGCATACATAAAGGGCTACATTTTTGATCATTGGGCTTCCTAGTGATTCTTGAAGCATAGGCTGATTGCATGAAGAGGCCTCTATGATGACCTGAAAGTCAGTGCTTCCTTTAAAGTTGCTTCCAAAACAGCCAGGATACCATTTAGTCTTCTGGTGTGATTTATGTTGAGATATAAAGAGCGTTGGGAAACTTGTCCAGCTTGCTAGGTATCTACATTTTGGTTTGGGTTCATTATGAAATGTTCTTACTGTGACTCCTTCAATAACAAAAGATAAACTGCCTGGTCCCTGAAACCTTGAACAGAAAAGCTAGAGACAATGGGTAATAAGGTGCAAAGGAAAAAAAAGTAGTTTCTATCTGTCACGTCCTCTAGTCTCCCCAATTCTCCCCAACTTCCCATTCTGTTGTTTCCAAGCTGAGTTTCCTCTTCCGAGGTGAGGCTGGAACAATGCTCTTTTCAACTCCTATCCCCTCCATCTGGTGATGTCAATCAACTCCACTTGGAAAAGTCTTGCTAGAAATGTCTCTAAAACTTTCCTCTAATCTCTTTACACTTTAAAGCAAACACCTTTTTCTAAAGAATTGCTTCTTAGGTGATCATACAATATATATATCTATGCTTTTGCAAGTTTAAAAATTCAAATGAACCACTTTTGACTAGGTAGGTCTTTCTAAAAAAAACTCTCTAAAGCAAACTTGATGTTAGCGTTCTTTTGCATGTTGAAGGGGCAGGGGACCCTCCAGGCTGTGGGCTCCCAGAGCTCTCTTTCTGACTGTCAGGAAAGATGGTGGAAGGGAGATGAACTCTGTGCCATCAACCCTTCTGCAACCTCTGAAGCAGGCTCAGTTTTTACAAATCACCTCATCTGTATTTCCGGTCACTGTTTAATCTACTTCCGAGGCCAGCCTTGATTTTATCTGGCTTGTAAAATCATTTTCCTTTTTATAAACCAAGTGTTTGTCAGGATGCCCTAAAACTCACTCATTAGTACTCCCTTTTGAAGAACGTTCTATCCAGAAAAAGAGATCATTTCAGGCTTGAGGTTCGTAATGACACCTTATAGTGGCGATGTGTGTTAAGGGAACTACCCAATTATGTTGTAATGAAAGAAGGAGAAACTTTGGCATTTTAAAAAATCACTGTCTTTCTATTTGCTGCCTAGGGAGTAGTGGGGAGATGGTGACTGACACGCTTTGCATATGGATCTTTGTATTTCTCATTTGGGGCAAGTTTCATTTCTGGCAAACTCAAAAGGAAAGGGGGAGGTGGTCACTTTAAGCTGAAAAACTTTCTAAACAATATATGTGTACACAGCAAAATTAAACCCAGTCTTTTCTGATGCTTGGTGTAATTGAGTGGCGATTGTTGTCAGTAAATAAAATTCTTCCCAAAAGAGTATCTCCCAAGAGTGACGATGCCATGAGTCGCTTTCTGAGCCCGTTTGCCAAAGGTAGAGGAAAAGACTGCATCCACTAACATTCAGAAAGGCAATGAGCCACTTAGTGATTGTATATGTGTATGTTTCTTTACCCTACGGAAGAGAAGACGAATGTCCGCAGGATTGGTGTTCTTTTGGGGTGTTATGTACAGACCTGTCCCGTGATAAACGTGTGGTTTCTGTGAGTTGCTGACAATCCTGCATCAAAGCTTTTGCAGTTCTTTCCTTTTTAAGTTGGGTTTAATGGAATTTTTTTTCAAGTGTCGGAAGGCATACTGTTCTTCCTGCCTCCCCTCCCCTTCCAGAAACAAGAAAGCAAATATTTGGAAGAAATGCTGCTTAAAAGATGTATCATGTTCCCCGGGAAAGTGAGTGGATATCGGTCGGCATCCTGAATGCCACGTGCCAGTGTGCAGAGGTGGGATGGCCCTGGGCCTGCGTTACTGTGCTTGGGACACCCAACGCGCTCCACACTCTTGTTGAAATCAACACCTGCCGCCCCTCTGCCGCTGTCCTGCGTCACTGTTGTCCTCACAACTCAGTGAATAAAGTGTGTGCTTTATGCGTCACTGCCTCCACACCGGGTTTCCTTTCTGGTTCCCCTGCTCCCTTTCAAGGTCTGTCCCATTTGAAAAAGTGCCAGCCCAACTTCTAAAGGCAAAAACAAAATCAAAATCAAAGTCCTGGGAATGCACTTTTATCACGTAGGAAGGCACGTTAGAGGGGAAAATGCATCAGGTAGCAGTGGTATATTCCAGAACTGTTTGCCCAATGGCCCAGACCATATTGACCAAGGCAACTAAAGAAAAGAAAATTTAATAGAGCTGTTGGCACTGTGCTGGTCTAGCTGGTATTCAGTTTTGTGTGTGACACAGAGCAGCAACGGTCTCATCACTTAGGCAAGGCTGGGGATTTGAGGTTTGAGGACAGGAGCTTCGGAACCGCTGCCGTGAGTTGGGCCATTTTACTAAGAAACTAGAATGCGGTGGGAGGAAAACATCTTTCAAAACATCTTTGACCTCCA